TGCATTCGATTCGTTGGATTAAAGTTTGAAATTTGATAGTTCTGGATTTCTTTATAAAAAATAATTAAAATTATAATATATATATATATATAAAGTGGGGTATTAGGCTGTGAACTTTGATGAGTGTAAACTTTTAATAACTGGAATATTCGCAGAATAACAATCATATTTGATGAGCATAGAAGCAAAGTGTGTGATAATCTCATCAAAATTTGGATTTTAAAAGCATGAGTAGATATAGTGTCATTGGTAGATCAAAATCGAGTTCAGTTTACGGTATTTTTTATTAGGTTTTACGAAAATCTAATATGATTATAACTAATCGATTGACGAAAATATTTTCTCTTAATCACTATCAAATTTTATTATTTAACTTGTTATTACCTGACATTCTTTCACTTGTTTCAGTAGATATATCAAAATTTTAAATTTACCTTTCAATTTTTTAAAAAATAATAATATTACAACCTTGAAATTTTATAAATAAACAAATTAATATTTAAAGTTTTATTGTGTTTTTAATGAGAAATAGCACATGATTTGTTTTGAAAATTATTAGGGGTGACTTTTGCTTTAGGGCAAGGCCCCCTTTACACGCACGCTTCACAAGTTCTAAAAGAATTTTATTCATTTAATTTTTATTTATTGGTTTCAGATTTATGCTAAATTTAGAAGGTCGGCATTACAGTATACTGAATGATTCCGCTGTTTGGGGACAGGCTAATTTGGTGGCCCCTTTTACATTTAAAAATATATATTTTAATTTAATTCAAAATAAATTTATTATTAAATAGTAATTCAAATTAAGCTGATTTGAGTGTAAATAATTTTGTTCAAAAATCGATTTATGAATAAGCTTATCTGGTATTAAGATTTGAGTCCAAATATGAGCTTTTAACTATTGGCTTTTCCCATTTATCCCATTATGTAAAAGGTTAATTATTTTTAGGAAAATATTGTCCTTGTAGTCTTATTTAATTTGATGAATTAATTATTACTTAGATTGTTAAATATATCGATAAGATAAATATATAATTAAAATATAAGATGGATGATTTATGTTTTCTTATTATTATCTATGATGGGTGGTTTATGTTAAAATTTTATTATTATTCTCTAAAGTTCAAACCCGAATTCCCTCTTTTAAAATGTAGTATCCTAACTAACAACTAGTTGGTTTAGTGGGACGAGGCACTAGGTCCCTTAAGCAAGGTCAGGAGTTCAAATTCCTGTGTTTGCGAATGAAGCAAACTGGGTTGGGAGGGTCGCCATCGCCTCTACAGTACCTGATTTGGATTAGTCAGTCAATAGATCGAATACTAGTGATTAATTAAAAAAATGTAGTATCCTAAATTCTTTGGTGAAGATGCAATATGCCTTATATATATAACTAAATAAGTCAATAACCTGAAATTTGTATTCACTTAAGCCTTTGTCTTCAACCGAAATCAATAAAGTATTTTTATATTTTAACTTAATTAGTTTTGTGGAAAATATAAAGATTAAATTTATCTCATATAAAGTAATGATATAATACATGTCACATGTTGTGTGGTATACATCATGTACCCAAAGTAACGATGTAGCACACGTCATGTGCCCAAAGTGATTACATAATGCATGCCACATTCAAAACGAAGATGTGATATTATCATGTGTCTAAAGTGATAATATAAAATATGTCATCTCATCACTTTAGACACACACGACTTAACAAACATTGGCTGTCAGTTTTCATTCAATCAGAGACATTTGAACCCAAAATAAAATGTTAGGAGCTAAAGTTCTTAAAATAGAATGGGGTCAAAGTGATCATTTTATCTAACATTAGGGGTGAATTTTGACATTATGCCTAATAAAAAATACTTAAACTATTGAAATGGACACTTTTGTTCACCAAATTTAAAAAAATAATATATTGGCTACTTATATTATCAATCTATAATATTTTCATTACTAGCACATTAAATTCATTACTTTAATGGTGTGATATATCGGTAAAAGAAGTTAAGTTTTAGTTTGACCCTTAAATTTATATAAATATTAATTTAACTCTTGAAATTAAATTAAAATATCAATTCAATTTATGAATTGAATCAAAGTTGGTTGCTGGTGGCTATTTTTACTACTGTCAGCAGGAATTAAACAATAGAACAACTATTGTTAATAAATAATAATAATAATAAGGGTAATCTATGTCAAATACCACTCACCTTTAGGCATTGACTCGAAAATGTCACTGACGTTTCAATTTTGCCAATTTAAGCACTGACGTTTATGTTTTACTCCAATTAAACCACTCCGCCGTTAATCCGTTAACGGGATGATGACATGGCATGGACGGGCCGTGACGGTGATGACGTGGATGCCTTACCAAAACGACGTCGTTTCAACACAACTATTTTGATGCTCAATAAATACAAAACGACGTCGTTTTGCTTGAACAAATTATTAAAATAATATGCAACTCATGGGATTCAAACCCCAAACCCCTGGATATTAAACATAATATTTAACCACTAAGCTACCTTATATTTCTCTGTTGGTTTTTCTATAAAAGTTTTTAACGATGCTTGAAAAGAACGGATGATATTGCACCGTATAAGATGTTGTGACTGAGATCTAGAACTTGTAAGAACCTAATATTGTCGATGTTGTCTAGGTTATTGTTCCTCATTGAGAGCTCGATGAGAGATACTGGAAACGTTGATGGGACTTGACCGGATACGTTGTTATTGCCAGCGTCGAGAAAGTAAAGATTTCTGAGTGAACCCAGATCAGGAAACTCACCGAAAATGTAGTTTCGTTGGATTTCGAGTCATTTCAAGCGTGTTAGGTTGTTAAATCTTGGAGGAATTGGTCCATGGAGATGGTTGTTGTCAAGGTAGAGTTCTTTAAGGTGAGGGAGTGAGCCAAGAACGACGGGTATTTCAACGGTGATTGGGTTTTCGGAGAGACCTAGTCGACCCAAGCGTGTTAAATGTGAAGGATCAGGTGGACAATTTCTATCAGAAGGTGGAAGATGCAGAAAACTCATTTGGTCAAATGTGCAATGGATGCTTCCTATGGTGATATGGCTAATGAATCAGGTGGTAATATTCATTACAAAGGTTGTGGAGCTTTTTATTTTGGGGGTGGGTGGGTGGGGGATATTATTGTTTTGATTAGCATTGAATATGCATTCGTGCTATTTTAAGGTGTTTTTGTTGCAAGTTGAAGCAATTAGAAAAACATTATGGCTTTATTAATTTCTGCCTTGAAGAGGTGTTGCACATTTGTAAAGTTTAAACTAACAACTGTGTTGCATTGATGTACATTTTGTTGTTTCTTTGGACTTATTATTGAAGGCAAATGGTCTTTGTAAGCATATGATCTTCAATTAGTCACTGATATCTGATTTTGGATTCAAGATTGAAAGTTCTTTGTAATTTGGAAATGCCATATGTTCAGCTTCAACATTGCGTATATTCATTGGGCATGGAGCTAGTTTAACCTTGACATTTTTGGTTTCTTAATGAGCTTGGATGCACCTGTGATGTGCATTTACCAGGAGCCTATAAATTGGAGAACGAGTCAGGAACTCGAAGCAAACCAGAGACGAGTGTATCACACTTGAGGCCGCAAGTGAAGTGGTCAGTGAAGATGTTGTCGCATGGGTCAATGGAGAAATCCCAGGAGCTCAATCAAGATCCGGAGCAATAGAAGGAGGGTCCACATCATTTTTTAGATCTTTGAGAACTTGTACATCTGCTGGGCGTGTTCTTGAATTTACTAAAAGCAACAACTTTGAGAATATGGTGATGAAAACAAGAGAATGAAGATGGAGATAAAGGGTACTAGATATCGATGCCAGGGGTTAAGCACTAATTTTATTTGGGGTTCAAGCATTGTTAACTGGAGTTTTAAAATTTTAAAACTTTTATAGAAAAACCAACAAAGAAATATAAGGTAGCTCGATGGTTAAGTAACATGTTTAATATTTAGGGGTTTGGGGTTCAAATCCCATGAGTTGCATATTATTTTAATAAATTTTTCAAGCAAAACGACGTCGTTTTGTCTTTATTGAGCATCAAAATAGTTGTGTTGAAACGACATAGTTTTGGTAAGGCATCCATGTCATCACCGTCACGGCCCGTCCATGTCATGTCATCGTCCCGTTAACGGATTAACGGCGGAGTGACTTAATTGGAGTAAAATATAAACGTTAATGCTTAAATTGACAAAATTGAAACGTCAGTGGCATTTTCGAGTCAGCGCCTAAAGGTGAGTGGTATTTGACATAGATTACTCTAACAACAACAACAACAACAACAACAACAATAATAATAATAATAATATAGAACTATTGAATCATTGATCATGTAAATATATATATATATATATATCTATAGATTTCTTTTAAAATTAAATAATAAAAATAAATTTGATATGGATACTAATTATAATTAAATACCAATAAAAAAGTGTATAATACCAAAGTAGAATCATAAATAAGGCTTTTAATTGGCACGAATCAACATATTGGCACAATTAAATTATAATTCCATGCATGGTGTCAATTCAAATTTTATAGTATAAGCCATTTAAAGCTAACAAACTCCCACGCAAACCAAACCAAACCACACGAATAGATTTCCAACTTCCAATTGTGCTTTTTCCTAATTATTTTTTCAATGGCATGGGATCAAAATGATTAATTTTGATAATATTAGTGGTAATAAAATTTGAGAAAATAATTCATGATCGAAGTAAAAATATATTAAAATTTAGATGATTAGAGGATCACGTACGTAAATTACTTAATATAAAATATCATAAATATGATTCTAATCACACGATAAAGTTATATACATACGTAATACGATACCAACAACACAAAATCTAGACGCATATACAAAATTCCTTTTTCTCTTTGACCCTAACTAGCTAGAAACATGCAAATTAAGCTACGATTCCATCTTTTATGTGAATCATGTATTGGATGGTTTAATGCATTCAACAAGAGCTTAATTCGTTGATTTAGTTGAAGTTAAAAGTTGATGAGAATGTTGGCTGTTATCGTGACTGCATTGCATGGCAGGTGACGTCCAGTATAGATCCATGAGTTTTGCCCAAAGAGCTTCGGATTCGGATCTTAACACTTCATTTTCTACCCATACAACGTGGTACTGATTAATAACTAAACTTAGTCGGTTCTTAAGCTGCCGGTTCTCTACGTTCAACCGGTTCACTTGGTCCGTGAGGTTCTCCAAATGCCTCTTTTTTCTCAAACGGGACCGCCTGGCTGACTCTCGATTCGATATCTTGCGCCTTTGCTTTCTTTCGTCCGGTGAATATACCACCCGACTCGAACTTTCCGAACCGGAGTTTAAACTGATCGGTTCTTCGGATTCGAAAAATGATAATAATTCTCGGAGTTCTTCGGGTGAAAAACCGGTTTCGGGAACCGGTAATGGGAATTGAACAGCTTCCTCAGCTAAAAACATTGGGTTAATTAGACTCAATCAAATATAAAAAAGTAAAAAAAAAAATGAACCAACCAAAATGAGAGTGGAAATTGAGAAAGATAAACCCTAATTTTAATTTGATACTAGGAAGTTAGAGAAGAGGGGAAAAGGGAAGGATAGAAGGGGAAGGGGAAGGGTATTTAAAGAAGGAAGGAAGGGACATGTAGGGTCCTTTGTAAACAAATTATTTTTTTTGGAAGAACAATTGCATACTTTTCTTAAGATAAAGAAAGAAAAAAAGTTACCATTTCAAAGCTAAGTTTTGTATACGAGATCTTTCGATGTTTAATAGTCATATAGACTCCGATCATATCAAAATTTAAATCGAATTAGAGTTTTAAACATGAAATACAATTCTTTTAATGTTATTTATTTTCTCATCTAAAAGATTTAAATCGATATTTTATTCCGAAAACATTACTCTTTATAATTTCACCCAACAAACACGATTGATTAAAAAGGCAAAGTTAAATAATTATAGGATACACTACATGAGTAGTCATTTTCGTTTACGTTCTGTACGCTTTTCCTCGCTAAATTAAAAAAATATAATATTTGATTTCTTTTGTTTTTATTTCATTAAAATAGGGTTATGTTCATTTTTTTTAATTAAGATGTGGTCATTTACCTTATCATATTTTAAATGCTTAGTCATTGAAACTTTGAATGTTGTTAGTGAGAAAAGGTGAGTAAATTAAATAAAATGACTACGTCTTAATTAAATAAAAAAGAAAGTGATCAATATTATATTTTTTGAATTTAGTAAGTAAAAGTGTACAAAATTAAAATGAAAGTGATCAATCATATAATTTATCCATAATTAAACAATATTTCAAAATTATCCCAAGTTTAAAGGTGATGGGTTTTTTTTTCCAAGACTTTTTTGAGAGAGAATTGGTGGGTCAAGGAGAAGATTAGGTTTACCTTAATCACGAAGAATCAAACAAAAACAGATAAAAGAAAATTGCTTGAAACACGTTTATTGGAGAGACTAAAGACACAAGTCATGTGGGATACACATAGGGGCTCAAAGGTTACAATATTTGTCTGAAAATATGTATAATATTATTTTTATTATTATTTAAATTCAGTAAAAAATCATTTATTGTATATAAAATATTTTTAATGATAATTCAGTCATTAGTTCTTAATCGATAATTATAAACACTCAAGGCACAGTGCATGCGGGAGAAAAAACAATGGCAAACATGCATTATACTTGCAAATTAGGGTTTTATTTCTTCCTTTTTCCCCCTTTGGCTAAACTATTTGTGTATTTTATATTTATGAAGCGTATAGTAGAAAAGGATCTTCGATTCTTCTATTCTTTGGCATTTAATTCATTACTTGATTTAAGAAGAAGAAAAATTCTTTTATTAAAGGGAGAATGTGCCATTTTTTCCCTGAATTTAGTAATTTTTCAACTTAGTCACTGAAGTTTTTTTGTCCATATTAGTTCTTTACTTGGTGCCTTTGATCCACATTAATCTCGGAACGAGGCAAGTTTTTCCCCCTTCAATTTGATCTTTTAACTTAGATATTGCCATACATTTTAGTCTTTAATGGAGTTTAAGTTAAGTGACTAAATTGGGAATTGTTAAGTTTGAGATTAATATGGACAAAAACTAGGGGTCAAATTTTTTTTAATTTTTTTTGCCAAGATTCAAAATTAAACGTGGATAAAAAAAATTAAAAATCAAATTTAAAGACTAAATATTATCATAGATATAACTGCTCGAATTTGAGACCTATAAAGAGAATAACACTCTTTTCTAGTGCTAAGGTCAATGGATTCAAATTCAAAACAAATAAATTCAGTCCACAAACATTTGTACAAGTATCTGGAATTTGGATTCCAATCTAACTTTTTATCCAATGGCATAAAGGAAGTTAAAAAGGGCCCAAACAGATACTGCTATGGGATATGATTGTCTCAACTTTGAAAGATGCATTAGCAAAACATGTATTTGGCACAATGGATGTCTCAAACATTTCATTGCAAAAACCTTCACACTGGGGAGCTTTATAAGGCAAGCGATTGTTTAAAGGCAAAGAGCACTTGCTTGGCCAAAATTATTATGGCCACGTGTCACAACACCATACCACAAAATTCACCCTATTCCCATATTTGGATATTTACTTTAGCCTTCCGGCAACCCCAGTGGGGCTTCCCTCTCCCCATGTTACTCACTAAAAGCACCTAAAGCTTCGATCTTCAAATCCTTCCCCTCTTTTCTGCTTATTTTCAGAGGCCAGCACACTGAGTCCTCAAAGATCAAAAGGTGACACGTCACGCATAACCTCGTAACAACGCGACACGACTTGTTGGTGGCCTGTCTGGTTGAGTTACTTGAAAAAAAGGCAGCTTCTTCAGCCATGTTAGTAAAGGTGTTCCGACTAGACGATGCCCTGTTTCTTACGTCAATGAACCACTTCCATTTACAAGATCACAATAATCATTAACATGAGTTCCCAAAAAAGGCTGAAAATCTTCTAATGAATGATTTAACTAGTTATGGATTGCATGATGTTACTAGTTCTGGTAAAAGAAGTAAAGTTAACAGCATGAAAATGCATTGTAAATGTAAAGACACTAAATATCACAAATGACCTGATAAAGGACCCAAAGCTTGCTATTTTCGTCATCATAGATGCAGTAAGACATAAATTACCACAAATGACCTAATAAAGGTCACAAATACATCAATTTGAAAGAATATAATATATCATGTAATGCACACTATGATCAATAACATCGATAACTTTTTCTAGTCCAGATGAAAATTTACAACCTGCACGATAGCAGAATGAAAGCTCGTTGGTTATGTAACGCAGCGTCCTAATGTCGGCATCGACCTTTTGGAACCCTTGCAACTTGCAAGAGACAGTATTTGGTTTACCATAAATATCATCCAAGTTCTTAGATTCAAACTGCAAAAGCTATCAGCCTATGGGCTTCAAAACAAGAAGAATGAATACAGTAATTCATGCACTAAATGGGAAGCAATGGTTGAATGTTTTTCTCTACACTAATCAGCAAAAGTGTTTGGTCAGATTTCTCCATGAAAACAGCATTAAGTTACATGAAGATCTGCTTGTATGAAAAATCGATCCTTGATCCTTTTCATCCTTCATACCAAGCGAGGTCTAAAGCAAGAGTTAGCATGTTTATAGCAAACGATTGTGTATCTTGCTCTGCTTGATGATTTCTTGGGGTATAGTGACTGGGGAAAAAGAACTCGTACACGCTGAAACTATCGATAAAGAAAAATAGAAGGGGAAAACCCCCTTAAGCAGAAAATAAACATCTATTTTCTTTCTTAAGCTACAACATTCAAATTCAGAGACGGATAAAGCTAGTTCACCTAGGGATAAGAGGAGAGGAAACAAATGGATATTGCAAGTAAGAATAAAAACAAAATATAGCATTAACTTCAGGAAAGCATTAACCTTCCAGATGGTAACAACATGAAGCTGATATACTGCAAATAATCAGAATATGCATAAAATTGCACAAATAAGACACAACACAAGAAGAGAAGTTACCTGTCACAAGCTACGACAACTAGCAGGCAGAGGGTCAAACACAGCTATGATCACAATAAATGATAGTCAAGACTCAAGACTATGCCATTGGATATTCATTTTTCCTGAGTGCATTGAAATAGTCATAAATGCATGTTCAACAACCATCAATGAGATGAATAAGATAAAAATTTGTTTCGGTTATAATCCCCTCTTAAAACTGCTTTCATCAACCCAGTGCATTTAGGATTTTATGAATGAAATGCCAAAGATCAAATCTTAGTTGGTACAGTTTTTCTTACCAATTAGATTTATCCCATCTGGGTTTATTCTTAAAGACTTTTATGAAAATATAAATTTTAACAGGCCCAATAAAAGATACAAAAAAGTTCTTACTATAATCATAGAGCATAGTTTATATGAAGGTCAGTAGGATGATTCTGTAAAGAACTAGATTTTTCCGGTAGTGAAAGAATTAAAATTCTTTTATTCAAAAGGAAATTGCATCTTATACAAGAGGGTACATAGGCTTTTTATACATATGAATTAGAGACCTAGATAAAATAGGAGTCGTCTTTTCTACAAATTAAGTAGTAGTTTTAGAGATAAATTAGGATGAAGAGTTTAACTTAAACACTACTTACAGATTCCATATCCAGACTGCATAGTCCATTCTCATTTCGTTCTCATAATTTTAAGCATCAGAAGCTTGGATGAGAAGAATCAACAATCATTACTACCTTTGCTTCTGATAAGCAGAAATATGTGACGATTGTCTCAGTCACACAATTTACAGGTTCATCCCTATCAACTTGGGAAAAATAATATAACTTGTAGCATAGGTTTAGTTGAGAAAGAAACTCAACTTCCTCATTCTATAGCAGACTTTCACTGAAAACAAGCTCGATTTATATGCACAGACACTTGTATCAACAAGAAAAAGTACAGAATGAAAAATAGACTAGGCTGAAGGATAGCACATAAATCCACTCCAATCATTTTGTGATTGCTTTTATTCCAACATTTTTTGATTAAGATTGACCAATCTGTTTCCAGAAAAATGGATTATTATCTCTATCATAATCCAGTCATCATGTAGAATTATATTGCGGGATCAACTAAATTTTCCTTAGCAGTGCTGATGCTCCTATTGATAGGCACCTCCTATTCAGTAAAATCATTGTTCAAAAAGCATACGATGTGATGCTAAATGATACAAGCTCTTATCAACAAGACAACAACAATGGAAAAAATTGACAAGAAAATTGGAATTCTTAACCCCAGAGCACGTTTTCGTTTCTAAAACACCAAGTAAATTAGTAAGAATAAAATTTTGTAGAACAACAATATAGCACTAGTTGTGGCATACAGCAGTGAGAACTGAGATTATTGAGTATACATTTTGATAAGGCAAATAAATTTGCAGGAAGCAGAGTATTGCTAATGCTATATACATTTTGCATGAGAGAAATATACGTACAAGACCCTCTGATATAAGCAGCTTCAGTGAGACTTCATTGTATTTCAGTGAAAACTCGGAACAAATGCACATTCAAGCAGGCATCACAACCCTACTAGCACTCAAGATATGTAAATACAAAGCAAGACAAAAGGTGACTATAATGGAAGACTTGGCACCAACATATCTGACAACATCCAGTCCCCGTTCCACGACCTCCTCACGAAAAATATGAACGCTACTTTTCACACCCTCTGAAAGCTTCCATAACATAAACACCACTAAAGACCTTAATGTTTCAAAGGTCACCCTCTCAGATACATCAATCACAAACTTTCTATTGTCGGGAACCGCCCATGACGAAGAGACCTTATCAACCCACCCAGTATTCTGAATCCCATCAAATGAGTTCCCTCTTTCAATTCCTTTACAAGATACTTCCTTCTCGAAACCATCTCTCATTTCACCGGCATCCAGGCTCCGATCAAGAACCAAACAAGTAGAACCCGGCTTCGAGTCCGAACTTGTCAACACTTGATGAGACGTTCTCACCAGGGTTGCCACAGCACCATTACTAATAGAAACTAAAATGTCTCTAACCTGTTTTTCATGTTTAGGATTAGTCATCCCAGCAAAGATTTCATCATATGTATTAATGTCCATCGTCTTGTCAAGATAAACTGCGACAGCCGTTCTTACAAATCTTTGTATGCAGTCAACAATTAGCTCCTTACATTTATCATCATACAACTGTTGGTAAAATAGACTGCTGCAAAACGAGGCATTAGCACTGACAGGAAATATATATATTGAAATATATAAATAAAAAACAGATTAATCGTGTCGTGGTATTAACCACTGCCTTAGAAACGAATTTGCCCCGATGTGTATAATCGCTGCAGTAGGCGGACCGTCCCCCGAGGCTAACACGGTCGCTCCCAATTCCGTACACCCGAAACCAGAGTGGACTGCTGGTGGTATTGCACTTCTGATCGGAAAGCACGGAGAGAACAACTTTAGAAAACACTTGGAGAGTGAATTCTAATTGTAGAGTGTGAGTTGAGAAGTTGAATTTAGCTCTCTATTTATAAGCTAGAAGTAAGGGTAAATCCGTCCAACAAAAAATCAAATTAAATTTGATTTTAATTCTGAATTTAAACCCTTTTTGTAACTCCTCTTGATGAATCTGACTAAAAAAAGAGTCCATGTTCATTGCATAAAAATTAAACAGTTATAACTCTAGAAATTAAATCATATAACTCTTGTAACTCATGATATTAACAGTTTGTCTCTCCCATGAACAAAGCTGAAAATCAGTTCAGATACATCTTAAATTATGATTTAATTTAGAAAAATAACTGTTTAATTTATTTAATTTTAGATAACTAATAATAAGATGTTATCATCTGAAATATTCGAACTTTAACAGTCTCAGTAGCCTATAAATATAAGATGAATCTTTCACATTTTTCATTTAATCTTTTAGAGAAAAATTCCTTACGAATTTTCTCTAAAAAGATAGTATCCATGTGGACGTATCAAAGACACGTATTATCACGCCTTGTTCTCTATCACTCAACAAGGGAATGGAGAATGTAAACTTTAAATACCATTCCCACTAGTATTTCCAACTCTATGTGGGATTGAGCATTACCAACATTCCCCCACTAATGCGAAAGAATTCTTCTGAAACTCGAAAACAATCTTTCCAGAAGAGTAATAGCGAGATTAGTTGCTTAAGCACTAGTGAGCGTATCTGGAACTAGTACATAGCGATGATGAATAATCCTTCTCTTAGATAAGTGAAACTAGTCTGGAACTTTCTAAGATGGGGGTAAACTCATAACACACAATTAACCCCTTCATCCACTTGAGTCCTCGATATGTAAGATATATATATATATATACAAAAGTATATATTTGGCCATCTTACCTTAGGATTCTAGTAAGTGTATTAGAAAAATGGCCCAACATTTTTCATAGAATGCGGCTAACCCTTCTCACTTACATAGGTTATTTCATCAAGTTTATCTCAACATAAACCACCCTTAAAAGGGATATGAAATAATTAAGAGCTTTTATAATAGCTCAACCTCACAAAGGGTATGGTGACTTTCTTCAAGAGCATCATTAATGAACCACCCAAACTCTGGGCTAAGAAGTCATTAAGAATAAATATTCATCCTCAATTATTGGTAAATTCAATAAGTCCTTCTCACTAGAACCATCCAAATACTTGGATTTGAATTTATTAACAGTTTGACAAACTTAACCTTTCTGTCGGTAAGTTATCATTTCCTACATACTCACTCTGGGTTATGAACTTATTAAGAATAAATATTCAACCAAAATCGGTAAATTCATCAAGTCTTTCTCACTAAGACCACCCAAAGTCTGGGCTATGAATTTATTAAGAGCAATTAAGCTCATCCTGGGCATGCACATTATTCATCATAGGGATAGGCAGTAGGAATGTGCACTATGAGTCTTTCCATGGTTTAGTTTGACCACATGGAACTTAGATAACTAAGTTGGGTATCCACCATGAATTCCTCAACCAATGGGCTTTAGACCCATCCCCATCGACGAATCTAGGACCAAGGATCTGCTAGGTTCCTTTCCGACTTCACATACTCTAAAGAGAGCACTCCATTCTTTATTAAGTGTCTGACTGATTCATGTCTATGCGAATGTGTCTTTTCTTACCATTTTAAGATTGGTTCTTAGCCATACATATCGCAGCTTGTGAATCACACAACAATGAAACTGGAGAAGTCGGTCTTCCCCACAACGAAATATTTGCTAACAAGATTCTGAGCCACTCGGCTTCTTGCCTAGCTAGGTCAAGAGTTATAAACTCTGACTCCATGGTAGAATGAGCAATACAAGTCAGCTTTGATGATTTCCACGAGATTGTTGCTCCACCTAAAGTAAAAACATGCCCGCTCGTAGAGCTTACCTAACTATTATCAGAAACCCAGTTGGCATCACAATATCCTTCCAGTACCAAAGGATAGCCAACAAACTCAAGTTTCCAATCCAAAGTACCCTTAAGATACTTCAGTAAGCATCTAAGAGCAATCCAGTATTCACCACTCTGATTATGAGTATATCTCACAACATAAGCAATATCATGTCGAGTATAGTTCATTAAGAACATTAAGATTTCGATTAATTTAGCATATTCTGTTTGGGAAACGCTACTTCCTTTATTCTTAAAGAGATATATGCTAGGGTCACAAGGGTTTGAACAGGGACGACATCAAAATTGTAACACCCTTAACTCATATCTAACCCGAATACAAGTCTGAGGTGTCACATTGACTTTTCAAACTTTGACTCTTATAGAAAATCCCAGGAATTTTTAAAACTTTCATTAAAACGAAATACATTAATTTACATAAGACCATAAAATACAAAATCGATCAGAGTATTCGTAATTAACACTTATTACATGCCAACATTCTATACATAACCAAGTACATACTTTTTCAATTACTTCTGATCTGATCTCTTAGTAGTATTGTTGTCCGTGCTACTTCTATTTCCACTTTTCCTGATTCTTGGTACCTACGTGTAAATCACTTACACGCTAAGTCATAGACTTAGTGAGGCAATAAATGAATATGCAACAATAAACTTATGAATGTTCATACTTACCATTGGATCATGACATTTCAATATACATGTATCTATCGCACGATAACATATAATGCACATACGAAACTTACCTTATTGTATCACTTTCACTGTAAATCTGTATTTCAATTGTATAACCCATGTATATTATTGAGAATAGAGGTATGTGAGTACATTGAGGTTGTGCACTAATACTGTCACCACAGCTCGTATCAATTCCCTCATGGGGCACCGAACCTTAGTTCAGTATTCGTCCCGTAGGACTATTATCTATGTCCCGTAGGACCCCTATATCCCGAAGGACTACATCCCGAAGGACTATTATACCCTCGACTCTTGGCATGCCAATTACACCTATAGTTCTCATATCGTATACTATGGGCATTATTGTTATATTTCATATGTTCATGTACTCATAACATTTCTCTTATGATCATGTATCTCATATCACTTCATATCATGTTCTCATATCACATGTCATATCACATATCATATCACATGAAAATATATATGTCTTATGCATGTATCACAATAATTATCATGTATGCATGTTCACCACTACTATATTATAAAAATCAACTTAGGGATTAGACTTATCACAAGTCTTATTCCATTATAATATACATATAGTATGCACTCACCTTAGCTTTGCTTTGATTCGATTCTAATCCTTTGATCATTCCGAAATAAGCTTACTTTTAGTATCTACATAATCACACGTGGATTTATATCAGTATTATAACTATTATACTCTAATGGTTCACTCTTTAGACTAAGAGAAAAGTCAATTTCATCTTTTAATGAAGGTATGCATCGATGCACTACTGATGCATCGGTGCATAAAAGGTATTCGATGTATTATTATTGCTGGGATGCATCGATGCACTCCTTATGCATCGATGCACCAATTGCATTCGATGTTTCATTATTAATGGGAGGCATCGATGCACTACTTATGCATCGATGCATGAATTGCATTCGATGTTTTTATTTTAAAAGAGTACATCGATGCACTACCAATGCATCGATACACCTTCAAACAATTTCTGGGTTTTAACCTTGATGCATCGATGCACTATGAATGTGTATCGATGCACTCTGCCCAGAATCCTCTTTTTGAACCCAAAAATTCATTCATTTTGGATTAAATCCTTCATGTTTAATCCTCTTTTTCATTCTTAACTCTAGTACACATCCTTAAACCAATTTATACTCATTTATTTCATCTTAAACCTTCAAATCCTATCCTTCATATGTAATTCAAGAATTACATTAATAAATCAACATGTTTGAATTCCGCTTTTAACACTTCGTATATCTTAACTAGATTGATGACAAGTCAAATATAACTTTCAATTCTAGTTATGAACTCTATTCCAAGATTTCATTTAAGAACTTCAAATCTTAAATCTCTCCTAACTCAATCATCCTTTGATGTTAAGATAACTTAAGCTTTCCTTAAGCTTAGTTATCATCTAATAATCAAAACCCAATATTAAATTTAACAAGAAACTCAATAATCAGAAATCTTACCTTTGCTTTGGTTCACACGCACAAGGAAGAAAAAGAAGAAGAGAACTCTGGAAGCCTTTTTTGTTCTCTCCTTTTCAACCCACTTGTACTCATATATATCATTATCCCTTCTTTAATTAATTTTCCTTGCAAATGACTCTTTGGCCCTTCCATTCCTTCTTCCTTTCAATTAAATTCTACACAATCATTTACATATAAATCTTTATACTATTCATTCATTCTATTTTAATCACCAAAATCTAAAACTTTCTAATTTAGTCACTAACCCGGTATTGAGGATGTTACAAAAACTGTCAAATTTCTTTAACACTTTCTCAAGATAGTGTGCTTGACTTAAAGAAAATCCATTTTCAGTTCTGGTAATTTTGACTCCTAAGATTACATTTACTTCTCCCAAATCTGTTATCTCAAATTTAGTGGACAATAAACTGTTTGTTTTGTTAATGGGCTCAATGTTAGAACTAAAAATCAACATGTCATTAACATACAAAACTTATGATGACACAATCAGTACCAAACATCCTCGAATACACACAAGCATCCAAACCATTCACAACAAAACTAAAACTATGTATAGTTTTATGAAATTTCTTGTACCATTATTCTCATATAGATCTCCTCATCTAGATCTCCATTAAAAAATACAGTCTTAGCATCCATTTGATGTACTTGCAACTTATGAATGGAGGCTAGTGCAAATAATGCACGGATCTTTGAGATGTTCATAACGGGGAAGTAAGAATCAAAGTAGTCTAAAACAAACTTGTGAGTGAACCCTTTGACAACTAGCCTTGCCTTGTACCACTAGATCAAACCATCTGGTCTCATTTTCTTCCGGAAGATTCATTTGCTACAGATTGGTTTAAATCTTCTAGGCAAATCAACTAATTCCCAAGTATGATTAGACATTATCAATTCTAGTTCATCATTAAAAGCGTTTTTCTAGAAACTAGCATCGATATATCTTATAGCTTTTTAGGATCCTCATATAACATTTAAGCTATATGATCAGAAAGACAGTCTAAATCATTTATCTCATAAATAAAGGAAGTGATAAAATTTGGTCCAAATAGCCTTTTACTTCTTCTAGGCTCGAAATTAATTGCTTGAGAAGACCTAGAAGGAATACTAGAAGAAGTGAATAGAATATTTTCTATTTGAGTTTATGCATTTAATCTACATTTTAAGACACCCCCACATTTCTAACATTTTAGGATATCCATAAGTGTCTTGTAAAACGTGTAAACAAATACTCAATCATACTAGAGTAAAGTTTGTTATGAGTTTTAGCCATAAAACTATATTTTAACAAACTTAAGTTTTGTTTACACATAATTATATTCTCAAAGTTTTGAGAAGTTACAAATCATTAAGATTAAAATACATAAACCATTATGAAATAGATAATCTCTTTTCTTTCCTATACTTAGGAAAATCACTTAAAGAGATTTAATAGCTACAACACACTCTTAGTAGCAATAATGTCTATCATATTTTTATTCATGATATTCAACATATTAACCTTAAAGAGATCATCACATATTTTATTTACTATGACTAAGTTTGGTATTTCACTCAACCAAATTAATCTTTTAACTTCTACACTAAGTTTAAAGAGTTCTCATCTTGTCATAGTATTTTATAAATTGAAATAGTGAGCATAGTAATGAACAATGCACCAGGTAGGTTTCTATGAAAGAGAGGTGGTGCACTAGGCACGCTTAAATACCAAGTCTTCATAGAACCAATCCTAGACATGCACTTTCATACTCATCACACTACTTTCCAATAAATTATTTATAGATTTTCTCTTTCTTAAGGCTTTCTTAAATAATTATGCTTGATAATTTTATTCACAATAGTATCTTATTAAGCATATATATTTTTGGCCTCACACTACCACCTTAGCCTTAGTAGTACTACCTTAGTCTTTACTAGTGATTTTATCTCATTTCATAGTATCCACTGAGTTTTAAAGACTACCTTAAAGGCTCATGCAGTCTAATTCATGTATTTAAAAGAACATGAATTAACAAACAACAAGTCTAAATAATCTGACCTCGTAGGTAGAGTCATAATTTCCAAATAGACTTGTTTATCCTCACCATGCATGCTACTTCAGCCTTTGCATTAGGACCTCAAAATCTATCATGACAATCACTTCATCTGACCCATCATCTCTTTTGAATCTTCTGAATTCAAATGAATAATATATATGGTTAGTAACAAAAATATTTTTACTAACAGTAATAAAATAAAAATAATTTACTGATAGTAATAAGATCCATATCTTTGAGATTTTGGTTCCTTATCTTCAGTAGATTGTGAAAATCAAACCCGAATTTAACAACTATTTCGATTTGAAGAATCTTCTCGTCCAACATCAGCATCTTCATGATTCTCCAAAATTGCAACGCTATGTTATCTTTAATAATTTCTCAAAAGAAATTATTAGTATGACAAGAGAGTTGACATTTATTTTTCAACTTACTGTTCAAAAAATGAATAGTTTCATAGCTCAACTCATTGTACATGAAACATAAACACATAATAAAGAATTAAATAAGGCAGGCCATGGAAACATGAAATAATTCACTAAGAATAAAACGACCATCTACCACCTTTAGACAATATTGTTAAAGCTTAATAAATTGTCATTAAAGCTTAATAAACAATTCAATTGCTTGCTATAATATAACCATTAAAATCTCTATTCAAAGCTTACCGTTTTTTTCATGATTTTTCATTATTCAAATATTAATCCATTTATCACCTAAATGGATTGTCAATAAAAATTACCACTAATGCATATTCAACCGATACATCATAAACACAACACAAATGTGTCAAATTTTTAAATGTAATTTTAATCTACATTTAAAATTTTTTTTTATTGTTTCATCATAAACACAGAAATGTTAAGGCATAATAATAATGCCATAAAACAGTCAATAACTCCAAATCAAAAATTATAACCGTATAATGATTATAATACATTCATATTTTCCAATAAATATCATTTCTTAAAATGATATTATAGTTTTCATTTTTCTTAAACGCATTATATATACATTTCCATTCATATTAATACACATTACACAAAAGAAATGTGCATATTTACGTTTAACTATATAAATTAATGCATGTAAATGCATTCATTATTCAGATATTGTATTACTTACAAACGTTTAAAAACATTTATAATAAGTATTGTATTAATCATTATTAATATTAAGAATGCAATCGTACTAACCTTTTGATTCTTACCATTCTGAAAAGTATAATGAATTCAAACTTTGCAAAGAAGAGACACGATCTCATGCATAGTAATCCATATTCGATTTTTTTTATCGATAATTTTCAGTGATCATAGAATCCATCTTTCTTCACAACACGAACAATAATAATTATTGTAGTATTTAGCAGCAGTAAGAATTCGTTTCTAAATTGTTGATAAAATAGACTGCTGCAAAACGATGCATTAGCACTAACATGAAAGATATATATTGAAATATATAAATAAAGAACAAATTAATCGTGTCGTGGTATTAACCACTGCCTTAGAAACGAATTTGCCCCGATGTGTGTAATCGCTGCAGTAGATAGACCGTCCCCCGAGGTTAATACGGTTGCTTCGAATTCCGTACACCCGAAACTGGAGTGGATTGCTGGTAGTATTACACTTCTGATCGAAAAGCACGGAGAGAACAACTTTAGAAAACACTTGGAGAGTGAATTCTGATTGTAGAGAGTGTGAGTTGAGAAGCTGAATTTAGCTTTCTATTTATAGGCTAGAAGTAAGGGTAAATCCGTCCAACAAGAAAATCAAATTAAATTTGATTTTAATTTTAAATTTAAACCTTATTTTGCAACTCCTCTTTATAAATATGACTAAAAAAAAAGTTCATGTTCATTGTATAAAAATTAAACAGTTATAACTCCTGAAATTAAATCATATAACTCATGTAACTCATGATATTAACAGCTTGTCTCTCCCATGAACAAAGCTAGAAATCAGTCTAAATACATCTTAAATTCTGATTTAATTTAGAAAAATAACTGTTTAATTTATTTAATTTCATACAACTAATAATAAGCTGTTATCATCTGAAATATTCGAACTTTAACTGTCTCAGTAGCCTATAAATATCAGATGAATCTTTCACATTTTTCATTTAATCTTTCAGAGAAAAATTCCTTAAGAATTTTCTCTAAGAAAATAGTATCCGTGTGAACGTATCAAAGACACGTATTATCACATCTTATTCTTTATCACTGAACAAAGGAACGGAAAAAATAAACTTTAAATACCATCCATTCTCACTAATATGTCCAATTGTAGGTGGGATTAAGCATTAACAACAACAGCATCAAGTTAACCCATTTGGGAACATTAGCTGATCCATCGTTCCCATTCAACCCCTCCATTGCTCCACCACTAGAGTAAAACCCCATAACCATATTCCTAGCAAAACTACCAACAACAACATATACAAAACCAGTCCCAGCATTTGAGAAAACCCTATCCAACACCCTATCAGTAAAGCTGGAATTCTCAGAACCGGGTTCAAATTTATCCTCATTCCCTGAGTCTAACTTATAACCTCTTAAAACCCCAACTGTTAAAGTCTTGGTAATCCTAATTAAAGATTGGGAAAATTCCTCTGATCTCACAATCTTTGAAATCTGCTTCAAACTATTCGGCACTTCATCAGAATCGTATTGCAAAAACTCCTTCAAGTTCTTGGAGAGAACATTGATCGTCTCCGCGGATTCCGATACCAACTCAGCTAACGAAATCAGGAGACGCCACATATAGCTAACAATATAAGCCATTGTTTCTTCCTGCGCGAAAAAGTCAGCGCCTTGTTCACCAACTGCAAATCCATTAACCAAAGCGAAACCCTAGAATTAAAGAAATTGGTACTAAGGGCTTTTCAAATACAAAAAATGGAAAAAGGCTATCAATCTAGAGATTTTTAGTTTTTGGATAAGGTTTCACAGTTCGAGAAATCTGGGGTTTCGCTTCGAAGTGATGAAGATAAGAGAGTTTTATTTTAAACAAAGAAAGATGAGAGAATTGAGAAGTAGCTTTCAAAGAGGATGGAAGACAAATTAAAGTGTAATTAAAAAATAAGATGCGTTCATTTTATACAATAAATTTTTAAGAGCGTCGAGATATATTTACAGTTCATTCTGCAATGTTACAGCAAAAAGCCAAAAAGTGTAAAGATGCTTCAGCTTTTTCTGTAGTGTCTTTTCAAGAATATCGAGTTATCTCTTCTTTTGCCTAGAACGTTAAAATGTCATTACTCCACTCTAACTAAAGGAAATCTTTGTTGTCTTTCTATTACCTAGTTAGAGAAAGTCGAGATTCCTCAACTCTAATAATAGGAATCTTTTCATTGCTACTCATAGTGTTGAGATGTTTTCACCCTTTCTTTAACGTTTTCTAAAGAGCGTCGAGATCTTTCGTTATATGTTCAATGTTGAGATGCCTCCGTTCATTCTATGTTGTCTCTTTAAGGGTGTCGAGTTATCTCTCACTCAAGAAATTAAAGAGTGTTGAGATATCTTCCCTCCTACAATAGGAATTTTTCCACCACTTTAGGAGTGTTAAAACGCATTTATCCTAATAAGGAGAATCCTAAGAAGTATAAGTATCTACTTATTCTATAGTGTTCCCCTAAAAGAAATATCAGCTCAAATTATTCTTAACTAATTGATAATGGATATATACCTTACAAAAACAATTGTTCGAATATGAGACTTTTAAGAAAAATAACATTCCCTTTAATCATTGAATCGATTTGATATTTTTTTATAATAATCACATAATGTTCATACTTTTCTATCATGTGTTAATTTATTTATAGTGTATAGTTTTATTGTAGTAATTTAATATCTTGTATCTTTTATATAAAATTCAAATCATTAAAATAGTGATATATTAATACAAATACTATGTTGGATTTTATCAAGTGGCGTAAACGAATATATTCTAATTCCCGCCCCAAGCTAAAAATAAACAAAATAAAATAAAACAAAGATCCAAGGTGTATCATCTATTCTCGTTTCAACTTGAATTGGACATTTTCTATTGGCTCAAATGATCAACCTTTTTTCACACTGTTTTACCCACCTTGGAAATTCACTTATGTTCTTCTAGTTACCATTCTTGCACGGTGATCATCACTGCATTAAAACTTGACTGATCACTCGCTATATGCAAACAAGCTCCAACAAACATCCAAGTATCCATGGTGTTCAATGTCGGCGATCCCAGGTTTTACATCAAAGCAAATGACCTTTCGGTTTGGTCCAACGAGCAGAGCCTACGCCAAGCTGAAGATGAATCCAATCACAGGACTTCTGTTGTAGAATTTTCAAATCCTTTTGAAACTATCTTCGATTTCTAGGGAAACTATAATCATTGACATCCTCAATATCACTGAAAGAAAAATCTTCTTCATTCTCCACGCATATTTCAGCTCCTCCAAATTCAGAATCATCAACTTCTGGCCAATTGATCTCATCGTCTTCAAAATTTGGAACCGATGTTTTTGAGGATGGACAAACCTCATACTCCTTATCCTCAGTCGTAAACCCCGTTTTTTCCACAATAACAGGCTTGTCTACAAATGGCATCTCAATAATTTCAATTGGATGCTTCTCAATCTCAATATCTGTTGTAATGCAAGATTCAGGTTCAGAAACATAAGTCCTAGGTGACATGGTCTCAACAAGAAAATAACTGGATGAGGAAGAAATAACATCATCGTGCATGGTTCCACAGTTGTCACCTACGAGAGAAGTTCTTCCATACCAATCAGATTCAGGCTTTGTTTGCTTTCGAAGCTCCTCCATCGACAATGCCCGGGCTTCCACCACCTGCTAGCAATATGTAAACCAACCATTAGAATTAATCAACGATTTAGTACTCCAAATACTCAATAATATCCCCACACCATGGGTGGAAAAATAAAGTACATGAAGTATCTAATGGTAAGTATACTTATGGCAAACAAATCCTGATCACAATTCTAAGAAACTATAACGTCACTTCCATAGAACTATATGAATATGTTATTGCACGGAGGACATAACAAGCTTAGCTAAGATTAAGAAGTCATGAAGAAAACCAATTTTGGTAGATGGTTTTGTAAGCACAACCTTCCGGACACAGTGAAGAAGATTTTCAACACATCAGGTATGGCTTAAGAACCATGGAAACCAAGCAAATAAAACTTTGAAGTGGACTGGTGAACTTGCAGACACTGTTGGACTCCGAATATTAGATATGATTTACATGGAAATGATTTAGAGTTCAACTGAAAAAAAATTGCTTTGAGAGCTGAAGCAAGGGCAATGAACAAGAATGAATATCTGGAAAACTTGGAAGGAAATATCAAGTCATCAGACTTCGCTACAATTTATATTCCATATTAAATGAAGTATGACGACTCGAGATTAAAGTTTAAAACATAAATTTTAACCTGAACACCAACAACAATAATAAAACCACCACCACCTCACAGATATAAAATTGAACATTTCATAAGGGACTAAGATATTCAAAATCCCTAAAAAGTATTTTCCCCATGAAAGAAAAAAGAAATAAGAAGCTTCACAAAACAATAAGATTGAGCCCCTGATTATGTTGTTTCTGTAACAACTGACCTGAGGTGTAGCCAGCAACTCTGCATCTTTCTTGTTAAGTCTTGGACGAAGAAGAACAAAATAAACTTTCCAGAAGTAACTGTCACTCATATGGCAAGGACAAAGTTCGATTCTCAGAGCTGCTAGTCTTGGAGCGAGATGTTCAATAGCCTTAGCATGGTCTCGTTGAGAGACTGACATGTCAAAATCTAAAACAAGAAAACAAAGGGTATCAGTATTTCACAAATTGTCATTTATGTAAATTTATACATCATAAATCACAACTCCGTCTACTCTTATGCTAACAGTCCCAAGTCCAAATAAAGGAAGAGGATTGTAGGCACGTTACAACCAGAGTAAAAGTGCAAGATCAGTCTTGTGTGATTGCAGTATACTGTATATCTATGAGCGTGAAAAGGAAAGTTCTACGGGACAAGTACTGTACCTATTTTGCTATACTGATGGAGGGAAAATTCTAAATAGCAATGAAATTGAAAAGAAGTCGATGAACGTGACTGAATTAGGGAAAAGAGAGGGTTCTGGAATTCCCGTAACCAATTTTAATAGAATTCTAAAAAAAAAAATCTTACTCCTAATACACTCTAATATTTATAATAAGACTCATTAATAGTAGCATGGTTGACTTAGAACTCTTACTAAGAGTCCTAGGCTAATCACATTATTAATTAAATGAACACCAAAGATAAACCTGGATAAGCTTAAAAACTAGCATAAAACTGATCCTAAATATTAAATAAAAAAAGCAAACGTAAAAATTAATGCTAAATATTAAACTGTAACTTGGATGCTCCTGCATTATATACGGTAGAGAAAGTTGGGCAACATAAACAAAAAAATAAAAATGCAATCATATGTCAATATCAGAATGGATGTGTGGTGGACTAGGAAGGACACTGTTATATGTGAATATCAGAATGGATGTGTGGTGGACTAGGAAGGACACTGTTTGAAATGAGGATATTTATCTCCAAGTTAGGATAGGTTTTATGATGGATAAAATGAGAGAACTTTTCCGGTGCTTATGACATAAGATGTTGACTGATAGATGCGCCTATCAGAAGGGTAAAGCAAATTTGCAATACATATGATAAAAGATTGAAGTCGAAACCAAAAAAGGAACATGGCTGGAGATGATAAATAATTATATGAAACTATTAGAACTTGAAGGAAGTATAATAATGACTGAAGGACAGAAGGAGGATGATTTGTCTACCTGATGTAAATGTTTTTATGTCTTGGTTCAAGTAGCCAAACCCAAACATATTGGGATTTGATGATTTGGTTCGGTTTAGTTTGGCTATATACATTGTAGATCACCAAATTTGCAACCAGAGTTAAAGCTTGTAATAGAATATTAACAAGACAAAGAGGCAAAGAATGCATGAGAAATGTGTTGGATTGAACAGGGAAACTAAAAGCTTTCCCATGCATCTAAAATTCAAACATAGAAGGTTGATATTGATCAAAATTAAAAACGGGAAGATATGTTTCAGCTCAATCACTTGATAAAGATGCATACACTTTCACAATGGTTAAAACTCCAATTCAAAAAAGTGAAGGGCGGGAACTACATAAGATGACAAATATCACTTAGTATATTACCTTACCTATATTTACTTCAATAACAATAATGATCATTCTTCAACGATCCAACATGTCAAAGACTTTCAGCAACAATTTACATGCATTATGATCAATTGCTCTGAACAACTGAACTTAATAGCAAGAATTTCGTAGCAGAGAATATAAATAAACACCAAATTATAGTACAACGCAATGAAATCAAATTAATCATGATTAATTAAGAAAATAAATTAGCATCCAAGTCCTCCTCGGGGTCAAGAGGGAAATCCAACCACGTCTCAGTGTGATGCGCGATGTTCCTTGCAAATGCCAAAACCTCATCCGTTATCCCGACCGCATTCAACACATGTTCCTCCTTTTCCGCATTGTCATTTTCATTTTCCAAATAATTTTCTTCTTCATTTTCCCCAGATCCAAACGGAAAATAATCCGATGCCATCTTCGACAACTTCACCCCGATCTCAGAAAAATCGTCCCTAATACCCGCAACCGCCACGGAATCAGACGGATCCTCTTCGTCCCCGGAGACAGACCGATCCAACGGATCAGATTGATTCGAATCCGAGAATGATCGACCATTTGATTGGCAATTGAATTGCATAGGAGTAGGCGGTGGGGCGAGAAAGGAAGCGACTCCGCAGAGTTGGTGGGTAAGGGTTTGTTTGAGTTCGGTTAGATCTTCTTTGACGCCACGCGATTGGAGTTCCGCTACTTGTTCAGGGGACAACGATTGTTGTTCGGCATTGGTTTCTTCGCTTTGAATCTTCTTAGGAGACGATGATTGAGACCCGTGCGTTACGATGTCGTTTTCGATTCCTTCATCACTTGAAGAAGCCGATATGTTGTCGTCTTCGTCGAGACGAAGCGAGGTAGCCAGCGAACGAGATAACCACGACATTTTAGGGATCGACCGATAAGCTTCAGGGTTTGATTTTTGAAATTCTTTTGGAGAGGAGTGGGGCAATCATATGAGGTATTGACCACCATAAGACTTTTGCGGTGTGAATAACACATCCTATTCTACATGCAACGATCACGAGTAAGCACGGATAAAAGTTTACTTGAAACGCATATTTTTTTTAAAATATATTATCTTGTAATTATTTTAAATTATTTTAAAAATTAACTTAATTTATCTATTTGTTTTAATCGTAAAAATTAATATTATTTTTCTTATAAATTCTAATTTTAAACAATTATATATATAAGATATTTTGTCAATTAGATTTATAGGATGTGTTGTTAATAAATTAAGAAAGTGTAACGGAAAAAACGTTAGACACATATTTTTAATGAAATTTTTTTAAGAACTAAAACATTTTTGAAGGTATAATTTAGGCAATTACTTTTGTATTAAACTTATTTTTTTATGATATATATATCCATGTTCTTTTTTTTTCTTAATAATATTAGTATTGACCAAATACCTTTTTATATTTTTTGAGATATTAATTTTTAAAAAAAATATATTGTAAACGATAATAATGTTAAAAATTTAATAACAAATTCAAATTAAATAAAAACATTTTTAAATATTGAAATAGTTTTTGGTGGAGCAAGAATGATTCTAATTATAAATCACATTTATTTAATAGTATGAGGTGATTAAGAGATAGTATCTTTTTAAAAAAAGTTTGAGTTTATAACAACATACACATTCCCTACAAATGTAACTACTCGAACTTGAATTCTTTTAAGGAAAACAACATCCTCTTATACCAATTAGACCACTTAATAGATTCATAAATCACAATTTTTAAATATATTTAATATATATTTATACCAACCTTTGACAATTCATACCGCTCTTATTACTAGTATTAGTCAAACAATATTTTAAAATTGTCTTATATATATGAATAGTATACTTGGACTTTGCTTTTCATGGTATTGAAAAATAATTCTATAAGACATTGATTGGCTTGAATTTCAATGAAAATAGTTTGGTCATACATACATTGATTGGCTTGAATTTCTATAAGACATAATTATATTTATATTTGATTTTTAAGAATTCTTATTAATATAAAATCATGTCGTTCAAAAGGTAATTTCTTTAAAATATTTTAACATAAGAGAGTGCTGAAACAAACCTAAGATTTGAAACGTGGAATCAATTTTACAATGAAAAATACAGTCTTTTAATCATTATTGACTTTTAGTTTTGAAAGAAAAATTATGCAAGTTTAAGTACGTAAATTAATATTAATAATCAATTGATTTAACTTAACGAGATATTAACTTTTTATGTTCAAATTGTGAGAATTATAAACTGCTTTTATAATAGACTTTTATAATATTTAATCTTAATTAATTAATTAATAGATGAAAGGTTGATAATTAAATTAACAGAACACCCAAACAAAGTGAAAAAGTAAAGGAACCAAGCTTCACAAGCGAGGTAAACGTCGTTAATATTTATTGTAACTGGGCGTGTTTTAAGTTTAATCTTCTAACTTAAATTTCTTCTTTTTAGGGTTTACTATAACGTCAGTCACATGTCGTCATTATGAAGAAAACATAGATTTTAAAAGGAAATTAAAAAATTAAGAAAAAACATTTTGGTAATATTAGTTACCATTAATACATATTTATATAATATAAAAAATATAAACTAACATATTTATAGATACAATTAAAATATAAAATTATTGTTAATTAATACTTAAATAACAATGTTATAATAATCTGAAGTCGGTTAAATAGTTATTTAACAGTATAACATCAAATAGTTTGACTAATTTGAAAATATATATAATGTGGAATTTACACAAAATCATCTTACGAGTACGAAATCCAAACAATAAAAAACATTTCTAATATCATTTAAAGTATTATTTTTAATATTTTTATTAGTATAGAATGATTATAAATGATAATTTATTTAAAAAAAATTAATCTATTAATAATATATATACTCTGTAAGTACAATTATTCGACTTCAATAAATTTTAAAAGTATATTCTAAATTACTATTGAGATTACTTTATGAGTTTAATGTTTATCCTACGAGCATAAACACTAATAAATAATTAAATATTTGTTTATCTTTTGGGTTTACTTTTTCTTGGCAAAGACGTTGTGGTTTAGAAGCGACGGTACTCAATAAATGCAAGTTGATTATTTTGACATTTGGAAATTTTCTATGGTCAGACGCCGGTATGGTACGTAATTCTATTTTTTATCTTCTAAAAAGACTTTTTAGTTAAATTTGATGATTTAAATATAAAATTAGTTATTTAATTAAATTTTTAATAATATGTTCCTTAGAATTTTATGTCAATAATCTATTTTAATGTAAAGTAAAACAAATCTAAATAATTACTCTATAAAGAAACTGGATTATTAGGGGTGAACAAAACTCGACTCCACTCGAAAAATCGATTTTTTCGACTCGACTCGAATTGACTTTGAGTTTTAATTTCATAAACTCGACTCGAAAAAATTTCAAGTTCAAATCGAGTTGTAAAATATAACTTGAATAACTCGAAATTTTTACTAATTAGTAGATTAATTTTCAAGTTTGAGTCGAAGCTAGAGTCAAGTCCCTCGATTTTGTATGGTATATGTAAATCACATATGAAAAAAAATATAATATATATATATATATATAATTATAAAATATCATTTAAATAAGAATAAAATGATGTCATAATATTGTAAATATTTACAATTAATTTTAAATAGAAACTTAAAAATTTGACTCGTCTCGACTCGACTCGAAAAAATTTCAAATCAACTCCGAGTTATAAAATATGTATCGTCAACTCAAATAACTCAAAAATTTTTGACTTAACTCGACTCGATCAAACTCTTACCCCTACTATCATGACTCACAAAAATCATAGAAGCAATAAATGTAGACTTGAATCTAAATATATTATTTTAATGACGGGACTCAATTCTCACTGCTTAAACATTATCGTTATGTGAATGTAATTTAAAAATTATAATTGTATTTAGATTAAGTCAAATTATTTTGATTGAGGAATAATTTGGTTAATACCTTTATTATTCTAATATCTTAGAATCTATAGGTTTGAGTATATTCGGGTTTAGGAGAAGTTTCATCCAATTTTAAATCTATTCCTACTTAAATATAAATAAAAACACGTTTATTAGATAAAACAAGGATTTAATTAAAAATATAATAAAAATGAGATATTATTATAATTATCTCAAAATATATAAAAGATAATTATATTGTTATATTGAGTTAGAATGAGATTTTTTCACCTTAAACCTAAACTCTACCTAATCCAATCACCTTATAAAAAATTCGACTCAACCCAATTTTTTAAAATAAAAAATTGACCGGAACGGTTCTAATTAGACCCATTAAATTCGAGTAAACTTATCTTCCTAACAGGAGGGAATATAATTCAATCTCAGAGATAAATATTGCCAATACATAAGATAATAAAATTATGACTTAGTAAACGAGGTTCTCAAACTTTTTAAAATACTAATGTGCTCTCGAACTTTTTAAAATTATCATATACATTAGAAAAAAATTATATGGAATTTGTTGTGTTCTCGTGATAAATTTTATTTTCTTAATATATTTTATTAAACTCGTCATTTCCTTGTGATAATTTCACTTACACTTTAACAAATGACCTAAATCTTAAAATAATTCTCAAACATATGCATGCTTCAAAAAAATAAAAAATAAAAAAATCCACTTGCATTATTTGGCCAACGGAGTCGGCAGGTAAATCCGGTTTGAAAATTTGGCGCAGAGATGGAATGAGGAACTGCAGCGTGGAGGGTTTGGCCATGAAAAGTGAAGATGTCAAAAAGTATTTGGCAGTCAATACCCTTCTTCAACCAACGGCTGCTGTTGTTATTTTATTATAAATCATTATCCTATTGATTTTTAATGACATACTCCACATGTACTCGGTCTTATCTGATGGGTTTTGTGTAGCCTGCGCGCTTGGGAAATAGTCAAAATCCAACAAAGAATCGGACTCCTTCTATTAATTTTAGTTTCACTCAACCACTTTATAATGACTTCCAACTATACCAATTACCTTCAATCAGTTCCACCTTCTCGTACCTAATCCTTTGCTTTTCAACTTTTTTCATTGATTTTAATCTAAACCCGTCATTTACCTATCACTGAATCTCCATAATCAGTTTCCTCGACTCTGCAAGGATGAGCAGAAAAGGGCATACGCAGAACAAGTTGGTGAGGTTCATCACGATTCCCTTTAGAGCCCTGGCAAAAGCAAAGGATCTTTACGTTAGAAGCCTGACGAGTTGCGCTGCGGGTTACGCGGGGCAATACCCGGGCCTGCCGAGGAGCATTAGTGCGAGCTCCGTGGCTTCTAGCCATGAAAACGAAGATCTTAGGGACCTCATCAGGGCTGCATCGGTTAGGAGCTTGGGTCATAGGAACGAGTTGGAAATGTTCTTGCAGGAACAGCTGAAGCAGATGAAAGTAGCGAAAGGGTTTCCCAAGAGTTCCAGTGTTGGCATGGGAAGAATCGACGAAGATAAGCCTTTTGAAACCGAAGAAAAAGATGAAGTGGAGAAACAAGATTCTTTGTTTAAGAGAAGTAAAACCTACGGTGTCACGAAAAGAACTAGTGTTGCTTTTGATTCTTGTTGATTTTTACGTAATCGTTTGTTGTTCTTGGTTTTATCCTGTTGTGTAGTTGATATTTTCCATATTGAAACTTGAAAGCAAAGGATATAGCCTGCTGGTTTCTTCAACAAATCTATTGAATATATCCACCATTACTCTCTTTGGTTTCAAATTCATGAACCCACACGTAAAGAATACCGTTGTCACTTAACAGGGAACCTACCAACTTCCCACTACTCATTTTAATTAAATAGCTACATCAGTCACATATATGATTATTTAACAACTCAATAGATATAAATTTCAAAAAGTACATATATACATATTATTATCGAATACATGTGTTTATATCCTATATTAAAGTTTGAGTAACATAAACTAGTAATGACATTTGATATATTGATATTTATATTAAATTTGTATTCGTTGATAGAAAATGATGGTTATACCAATAGTCATTAATTCATCTTCTTCAATTTTAATGGAGAATCGTGACAAGAAATAGTGATGGATTATAAATTAAAGATGAACTAGGTGTGTGAAGAAAGATTGTGGAAGAGAAAGAATTCAGGCTTTTTTTTTTCCTTTTACCATGCGTATTGACTTTTGATTAATGGAGGTCTAACTTATGAAAGAAATCCAAAGAGGTAGTAACTTTTTAAAATTAAAATTTTTCATTTAATTATTTTTATATGTATATTTGTGGCACTTAAACAAATTTTCAATTGTCAGTAGTATATTGGTCTCATTTTGATTTTGGTTGTTAGCTTAAAAAGCAGAAAACATAGTCGGATGATTAGTATAATAAATCAATGATAATATGCAGGCATTATCAAAACACAATTAAATGCTGCCTTCACTTTTATTGTGTGTGCATAAAACAATACCTTTGAGATAGTAATAAACTTGAGTTCCAATTTCAGATTTCATCAGTATATCATCGCTTAAATAATTAACCTAATTTTGAAACGGCCAAGGGAAAACTATACTTAATACAATAATATACGTATTTATATTTGGGTCAGTTATTATTTTCGGCCTTGACATCTCACGTAACCGACAACTTATAATAATAAAAATTTAAAAATGTTTATCCCTTGGAGTAAATGGGTGCTTGGTCTAGTGGTATGATTCTCGCTTTGGGTGCGAGAGGTCCCGAGTTCGATTCTCGGAGCACCCCTATATTTTTCATTGTATATAATTTTTCCTGCCAGCAGCCCCATAACTTTCTCGATTACGGTTCATTGACTCTCCTGTTGCTTAGTTTGAAGGGTAAACTACATGCCCAACCCTTTTATTTTTTGTTTGTCTTATTTTAGTTATCGATTTTGAAAATTTGAGTTTGGCCATTTTTGTTCTCAATCCGGTTTATTTTGATCATTGAGTCATTAACTCTCATTAGTTTACGTGATATGTTAGTAAATATGGTTAATTTTTAACCTGATCCTTGAATATTTTATACGTAATATATAATTTAACCCTAAACTTTAGATAAAATATTAATTCAAACTCTTCAACTTTAGATAAAAATTCAATTTGACTATTGGATCTAATCAAAGTCGCAGCCTCTAGCCGCCACTCATCATCCTGGCCGATCACCGTTAGTTTTCATCATCGGTCATCACCAACAATCATCGTTGACGATCGTTGGGCTAAAAAAAATTCAGTTCACTATTTTTTACCTCCTAAACACGAATCTAATATCCATTTCACTGAAAATACCTCTAACTTCACAAGCCTAGTCTAAAGCGCTTCAAATTCCTTTTAAAAAATACTATAATAATAAATTTTATATTTTAAAGATTTCTTAAATTCTTTTTTAAAGACTAAATAAGTCATCAAGCTTTTAATTAAAATCAATTACGTCCTCAAACACTCAATTAAAATCAACTATACCCTCAAATTCGGGAAAAAAATCAATTAAACCTTTTACTACATCATTAATACACATTAACTACTATATTAGTACTGTAATGATCAATGTCGGTTAAAGAACAAAATTGATATAATTAAATAAATTTGATGACAAAATTGACAAAGTTAAAAAGCAAGGACAATTACTGAATTGAGTTAACGTAAAAGTGCCCTTTCGCCAAAAATATATTATGAACTAAGCATTGCATGAATAAACAAATTATGAATGATTGAACGAACTTGTTCTCTGTGAATGTTTGCAGGACAGGTAAGGCTAACAAAAATAGACAGTGTCGTATAACCGTTGTCCTGGTACCATTTACAGAATTGAATGTGTGGATAAACTATTGAACAAAAATACAGTTGTTTAAACAAAAGGAGAATAATCCCAGTTTTTACATTCATATAACCATACGTGAAAAGTATGAGAATAGTAGCACAATATAAATAATGCTTCTATCTTAAGAGTTTTTGACAAATTATGGTCCCCTGGAAGTCTAGTGAAGTATACTGCAAAAGCTTTGCTCTATCTGTCATACGGCAAAACCCGAAGTTATTTGTCCACGTCTCGACTGTGGTCGGCAGTGATGGCAAAACCAGCTTCTCCACTCCTAGTTTCATCTGATTCTTGTCAAGTTCATCCACCAAAACTCGACACATTCCACGGCGGCAGTGTCTGAACGTGGTGGCAACAAGGGGCATTTCAGCCACCCTGTTATCACACACCCTCATGGTGGCCACTGAAACCAGATCATCATTTTCCTCCAGAACCACAGTATAGAATCCTTTAAAATTCAATCGTTTCAGCTTTGAGACTCGGCTGAATATCACGTCATCGACTAAATCTCTCCCCGTCTCGACACATTCGTTTGACTCGAAACACTCATGCATCACTTCACGTGCAGCTCTCAACTTACTCATATTCTTTTTCTCTGCAGATGACTTATGCCGTGCCCATGAGCTCGATGATCAGATTTCAGCAATGTCCAAGTCAGATTGTTCCCCACTGGAATTGGCTTCCCTGCCAGTTTTTGCAGGCCGTAAAAGATCTTTTCACAGTTCTGGCTACATAATAGTGCCTTGTTCTTCTCCATCTTCATCTCACTTGGTTTCTTCGAATTCAAGCAATCAACATGGAATTTAAGCTCGCATTGATGACAAGTAAGAAAAGGTGTATCCTTTACAGACCCGATTCCTCAAATTTCACAGCAGCAAGGAGGGCAAATCCAGTCGCCATTGGGGATTTCCTTTAAGCCAAGGCATTCCATATGGAATGCTGAAGGGCAGGAATCACAGCAAATTAACTGTCTCCCGTCGTTGCAAGAAGAGCAAACTCCATCGTTCTCGTGTCGAAACGAATCGGCAGCCTTCACAGTTTTAGGGCTCTCTGCAACAGAACGTCGAGTCATTGAATCACGAACTTGTCTTTGACAATCGGAGTGTGACCTTCCAGTGCCGTCATCCTGGATGATGTTGGCGTGTGGCCTGTGATTGGTATTTTCAGCATGAGCTTCAAAGGCAGTGAGAGTGAAAACCTCGGAGCAGCAGTGACACTGAATCCCATCACGAGTTATCTGTCCTTTCATCAATGGAGTCCCCGTCTTACTTCGATAATACACATTTCCCAACATCGGAACAGCATTGTTATCTATCAACCATGAGAGAACGGTTCGAGGGTTACCATTAGAAACCGGACCCTCTCGCACTTTTTTGCCAGATTTTACTACCCGGTTCTCTTGTATCTTCAGCAGTTTTCTCCTTTTTGGCGGTTCGGATTGAACAGATTTAGGCGATGGCCGATTCTCCAGACCCGAACACTTTCTTTTTTTAGGTTGCTTGGGCTCCACGCTTTTCATCCTCCCTTCTCCAAAAGCTTGATCGATACAACCTTTGCAAGCCATTTTGAGTGAAGAATAAACTTTTCCGGTGGGCGATTGATATCGGAGTTCTTGTTTTCCGTTCTCAGGAACATACCAGAAAACCCATCCCTTTGACGAAAGAAAGCTTTTCGCTTTGAAGGAAAGTTCACCTGAGTTCTTGGGGCGACCTGAACCTCCACCGTGATACCATTTCAGAACAGCTTCTTCACATGCTTCAACTCCATCTGCAAACATGGTCGATTTCTCCTCCATAGCCGAATTTCTTGGAGCGGAAGAAATTTTTTTTCTTGAATAACAGAAGAACGTATAAATTTTGGGATTAGGTTTGGCTAGGGTTACATATATATTTATAGTCGATTATTGTAATTATTAAATAATATGTCAAATTAAATTTTATAAACATTTTTATTAATATATATAATATTCAAACATTTTTAACGTTGTTTAAAATGTACGTACCAATGCTCAAAATACCAATCTCTTTTAAGCATGTATGTTTTAAAATTAATAAATTTTAAAATTCATCGAACGAATTTAATGGTTAAATAAAATATAATTTTTTCTAAAGGTTATGATTTTGAATAATTGTATTTATAAAGTGCGTGTGTTGTCAACGATTAAGGAAAATTATGAACATATACTACCTTGTAATCACCTCATCCTATCTTAAAAGAAAAAAAGAAAAAATTTAATCCCTCACAAATTAAATTAATTTATTAGAAAGTATTAATTCATTAAATTAATAATTAATGTGACCCCAAAATATTTTTGTTGATGTAATATCATGACACATCAACAATAAATATTTATTATTAGTCGATTAATGATTTTTTTTTATCTAAATAAGAGTTATTTAAATCTAAATTGAAATGTCAAGAGATAGAATGATTAAAAATAATAAGAACTAAAACAACCAATCAATCAAACGTTATTATACCATTATACATTAATTTTAATAAAAATATATATTATCTAATTAACAACATAAAATCTTTTCGAAATATTGCTATAGACTAAAAGTGTTATACTTTATAATCTAATACACTACTCCGAAATGAAATAAATATGTTACCTCTAAAAATGACTAATATATAACATAAATTTAAAATGTTTATCTTAAGAGATTTTGGGTTCAAGCATGACGTTTGTAGGGGTGTTTTAACGTTCATTGTCAAATGATTGAGAGTATTTCGAATAACTATTATATTGTATTCACTTCAAATTAATAAAAATATTTATTTAGGAAAAATAGAGAATAAGAAAAAAAATGAAAATATGTTTTAAGTATAAAAAAAATGAAAATATGTTTTAAGTATAAAATTATTTACAATATATAACATATAGATTGAAAGTAGATATTTTGAGGTTTAGTAGTTTTGTTAACATATTAGTGACGGAGAAAGATAGGCGTCGGAGATTGTGAAATGTCATTAAACGTCATGGCTCACATAAGCCTACGCACATTTGTTTATGCATATTCTGTCCTTTTTCTTTGTCTTTCCAATTCAACCACCAATTAGAGATGTTTGTAAATTTATTGAAATTGAAATCAATGTTTGAATATTCTCTCAAGTCAGAATAGATATTATTTTCTCAGAATATTATAATGATAGGTATGACTCATAAATATACCAGTAAATAGGATAGGGGATGGAGCGGAGTGAGCGAAGCGAACATCAACTGTCTTTACAAAGAAAGTCTCGTAGAGGGGGTTACGATTATGTGGGTTGGGGTACGGGGGTGCTGCCCCGTGGTACGGTACAAGGTTAATTACGTAATTATGTACCAGGTTTTTTTATTATAAATAGAGATGTAACCTAAACATATGAGACATTGAATAAAACTTCTAGCGCCGCCTAGGCACCGAGGACATAAGCACATTGCCGAACCTCGTTAAAATTATTGTGTTCTTTCGTTTTCTTTTTCGATTCTTCAACAATTGGTATCAGATGTCAGGAGCAAAATTCGAAGTTGCGAAATTCAATGGTCATGGTAACTTCGGATTATGGCAAACGAGGGTGAAGGATCTGTTGGCGCAGTAGGGGATCCTGAAGGCTTTGTGACCAACAAAGTCGACGTCGATGGAGGAGGAAGATTGGGAAGGATTGCAACAGCGAGCGGCAAGAACTATACGATTATGCTTGGCGGACGAGGTTATGTATCACGTCATGCATCTGTCGTCTCCAGACGAAATTTGGAGAAAGTTAGAAAGTCAGTTTATATCCAAATCCTTAACGATAAAACTGTATCTGAAGCACCGACTGTATGGGCTGAAGATGCAGGACGATTATGATTTGGCGCAACACGTGAATGTCTTCAATCAAATCGTTTCTGATTTGGCTCGGCTTGATGTGAAAATTGAGGATGAAGACAGAGCGATGATTCTGTTGTGTTCGTTGCCTCCCTCTTACGAACACATGGTGACTACTCTTACATATGGGAAAGAGACTATCAACGTTGAGGAGATTACTGCAGCCTTTTTGGCTCACAACCAGCGGAAGCAGAATGCAGGGGAAAACTCTCAAGCCAATAGCTTATATGTCAAGGGTAATCGAGACCGTGGACGGAAGCCAGAGAAGGCAGGGTCTGGAAAGTGGAATTCCAGATCCAAATCTAGGGATAAGAAGATAATTCACTGTTACAAGTGCAAGGAGGCGGGATATATGAAGCGAGACTGTCAGAAGTTGAAAAAGTAGACTGATGAAAAGCGTGATATTTCATCCAAGTCTGTGAACGTGGTCGAGGATGATAATTCTGATTGCAGTGAGGGTGATATGCTTTCTATTTCAACGACTCAATTGACGGATGCGTGGATTATTGATTCTGGATGTTCTTATCACATCACGCTAAATAGGGAATGGTTTTTGACATACATGTCGGTTAATTCTGGTTTTGTTTATTTGGATGATGATCGATGTTGCAATATTGTTGGTATTGGTGATGTCAGAATTAAGATGTATGACGGCTCTGTTCGGACGTTGAGTGGTGTTCAACATATCCCAGATTTGAAGAAGAATTTGATTTCTTTGGGCACTTTGCACAAGAATGATTTTATCCCTAAGGCTGATGAGGATAGGGAGACCATTCGGATTGTTAAAGGAGCTTTGACAGTGATGAAAGGAAAGATGACTGCAGGGAATATTTACAGATTGTTAGGGAGTACCGTTGTAAGTGGAGTTCATTCTATTGAGTCTTATGATGATACAACCAAACTGTGGCATATGCGTCTTGCTCATCTTAGTGAACGTGGTATGACTGAATTACATAAAAGAAATTTGTTGCATGGTGTTAAAAGTTGTAAGCTCGAATTTTGCAAGTATTGTGTTCTTGGTAAACAGACTAAAGTTCATTTCAAGACTGCGAAGCACATAACTGAAGGGATTATTGATTATGTGCATTCGGATGTATGGGGGCCTTCCACGATTTCGTCTTTGGGTGGATCTAGGTATTATGTTACCTTTATTGACGATTTTTCACGGAAAGTTTGAGTGTATTTTTTGAAACATAAGTCTGATGTTTTTGAGAAGTTCAAGCTGTGGAAAGCTGAGGTAGAAAACCAAACAGGATGAAAAATCAAGTGTTTGAGGTCTGACAATGGTACAGAGTACACATATTAATAGTTTCTACAGTTCTGTAAGGAGTATGGGATTAAGAGGCATTTTACAGTACGCAAGACACCACAACATAATAGTGTTGTAGAACGGATGAACATGTCGTTGAATGAAAGAGCCAGATGTTTGCGGTTGAATGCGAGGCTTCCCAAACACTTCTGGGTTGAGGCTGTTAACATGGCGTGTTATCTTATCAACAGATCGCCAAGGGCATCATTGGCTGAGAAAGTTGTAGAAGAGCTATGGACTGGTCATGATGTTAGTTTTGATAACTTACGGATTTTTGGTTGTCCTACTTATGTGCATGTACCTGCTGATGAGAGATATCTCCAAACTTGATGCAAAATCGAAGGAGTGCATTTTTCTGGGTTACAAGAAAGGTGTCAAAGGATTCAAGTTTTGGGATCCAGTTGTGAAGAAAATTGTGATC